ACTGTCAAAGGCTTTTTTTTTTGGTCCACAAAGTTCAAAATTTGGTCTGAACATGATATTTCTGGTCGAAAGAAAAGGGGACGGGGATAAAATAAATGAAAAGAACATTTGAGTATATGGAAACACCGATGTTTGACAACTTTTCTCCCAACCTAGGTGCTCTCGTGGTCTGGAGGTACGGTGTTCGCCTCTCATTCAGTAAGTCCCTGGTTCGAAACCTGTGAACGACGGAAAACTTTGTTCTCTAAAATGTTCTCCTTTCTTTCTCCCTAGCCAAGTTTCTGACATCTGCCTTCGTTTCTACTTTCTACGCCCTCCCCCCTCCACCCCCCTTTTCCCCTTTGCCCTCTGGGCTCCTGACTCTTTCTGCAGCCTTTCTGCTTCTACTACATGTGATTCCTTCTTACTGCTGTGTTTCGGCCACACCCCTGATCTTAGAGTAAGTACACCTAGCTTTCTCGGATAAGGGCGGATAAATCGCGGAGGTCCCGTGTGCAAGTTGCGTACGTTTCAGATCTCTTGGTGGTCCTTAAATAGATTTTTTTTTTATTTACTCCTACAGCCACCTGGACAACGTTCAAAATTAATTCCCTTCCTACCAAACTTAAAATGCTTAGTAATGTGTCTCGCACGCTCATAAATAATGACCTTATACAGTTGCGAGCGCCCTAAAGTACTTACCAAAAAATTCCCGACCTGTGTGGTCAATGATAACTCAGGCAAGTCAATTTAGAACCTAGTGTCACAACACTGGATCAAATTCTGACTTTCAATATTCGGTTAATTTGTAAATTTTGGCACACACCCTCCTCCCTCCCATCTGGGCGGGATCTAGTCCACAAGCCTCGGTTTGGTGACCTCTACTTTAGTAGGAAGGTGGTGTCAAGGTGATCTCTCTCTCTCTCTCTCTCTCTCTCTCTCTCTCTCTCTCTCTCTCTCTCTCTCTCTCCACCAATAACGCCCAGTCCCTCCTGTGCCTCTCTGGTCCAATGCCTCTTCACCCCCTACCCCTCCCACTTTCTTCCTCGGGTGATTGTCGGGCTGGTACTGGTAGGTCTGGTCTCCCCGTGCCTAGCTCAATCACCTCTCCACCCCCCTCCCCTCCTGCTTTCTTCCTCGGGCAGTTGTTGTGGCCCCTCTTCTTGGCTTTTCTTCATTCTTTTCCGTCAGTTTGCCTCGCCTTTTCCCCAGCAATAAATAGATGTTATGATGTTGGTGTCCTCTTTACTCAAAACTCTACCATTCATTGTGCAGCCGAATTCTCTCTCTCTCTCTCTCTCTCTCTCTCTCTCTCTCTCTCTCTCTCTCTCTCTCTCTCTCTCTCTCTCTCTCTCTCTCTCTCTCTCTCTCCACCAATAAATAATGCATGTCCCTGTCTCTACCATCACCTCTTCACCCCCTTTCTTCCTTGGGTAGTTGTAGGGCTGGTTCTCCCCCCCCCCCCTCTCCCCTCGTGCCTGTCTCTCCCATCACCTCTCCATCCCCCCTCCTTCTTTCTAAATTTCTTGCACGGGTACAGGTATGAGGAAGGCCTTTCTTCTTGCCCCCTCCCCCCCCCCCTCTCCCCCCCTTCCCCTCCCCCTCTTCTCTTTTCCGCTGTTACTAACAGTGTTAGTGTGGACTTTTCCCTAGCGATAAATAGACTGATGTTATGGTGCCCTTGTCCCCTTTACTCTTCTGCCTCACTTCCACAACTACCGCTCAAAGGTGGTTGGTGGGTGCTCTGGTGTGGTTTGCTTTTTCTTTCCTATCAAATATCTATCGTCCTTGTCATTCTCTCCTTATTTTCTGTATTTGTTACTTTCTTGTAAAACCTTTAATCTTTGACCTTATTGTGTTCAAAGTCCCGTAAAATCCATAGGCGTACTAAAACTAAACTCCAGCCCTCTTTTCTGTTTCAAGTGTATTTGGGGGTTGTGGGTTCGGGGGGGGGGGGGGGTGAAAGGGGGGGCCAGGGTAAAAGCTGCCAAATTTGTGAAACGGAAGTTGCCACGTAACGTCTTGGGTCAATGAACTATATTTAGGTCGCTAGTGTCCTACAAAATCTAGCTGTCTGAAGGCGGCACTTTATCCCTATCAGGCTGGCGGAAAGCGGGCATATTAGTGTTGATTGACTCCTGGCAAAATTCATTCTCGAACTCGGAGATGAATTAAATATTTTCTTGGGGCGTGATTAGGCCCCCCACTATTCATGTACTTTTTGCATTTTGCGGCTGCTCACGTTGTCGGACGAAAATGTGTTCGTCCTAAAACACAGTTCGTTTTAGCTGAAACAACTCTGTCTTAATCTCTTATAGGCCATAACGGCACATACTGTGTTGTTTCCGCCGACCGCCATCAGCCGGGACGACACATACTGTGTTTTTTGTATTTCCTTATTCAAAGACGAAGATGAAACCGATACTAGTTTTCTCCGATGGGTTTAGCGTGGGTTAAAGGTCACATCCACCGTTTGTAACGAAATTAGCGGGGCTTTTCAATGTAACTCTTCAAGACTAACACATTTTCCTTTGAATTTCAATATTGTTATACTAATCTTATTCTACGTTCAATGCCCTTTACAATTATGTATAACATGTGTACATTACTAACAGGGAAACACACTAAAAACACACAAAAATAGCATATCTGATTTCTCTTGGTCAGCCATGATTTAATTCCGGTGAATCCAGGGTAAATAATGCCGGTCATTTATATAATTATCAAGTGGCTTTTTTCCTATCAAATAGACCTACTAATGTAAATTAGTAAATTATTAGTACAGCTTCTACTATTAATTGGAGTTCAGTAGAGTGGAAATCACAAATAACAGGCCCGGTAATAACAGGGATCCGGTAATAACAAGGATTTCATAAATCCCCGTTTTTTTCCGACTCTTTGTCTCTATTAAAAGTTATCAGCAATAACAGGGCCTCATCGGAGCCGAATCGGTCATAACAGGGACAAAGGCTCGATAACAATGTGTATAAAGTAAGAGAGAAAGGGAGAGAGAGAGAGAGAGAGAGAGAGAGAGAGAGAGAGAGAGAGAGAGAGAGAGAGACAGAGAGAGAGAGAGAGAGAGAGAGACAGAGAGAGAGAGACAGACAGACAGACAGAGAGAGAGAGAGAGAGAGAGAGAGACAGAGAGAGAGAGAGAGAGAGAGAGAGAGAGAGAGAGAGAGAGAGAGAGAGAGAGAGAGAGAGAGAGAGAGAAACGCAGTGATGGAGAAAGCCCACGCAAGCCACGCCACTGCAAGCACTTGCTGCGGGTGAAGCAAGAGAGGGTGGCGGTGTGCTGCTGACTTCGATCTAGCCTTAAGCCTTGCTACACGCATGCGTAAAAACCCAGTTCGTGGATACTTGTGGCAAGGGAAACTAACCATGAACAAATACAGCTGGATTAGTCTACTAATGCTTACTTCCCTTGTATTTCTGATTTAACATGGATCTGATATAACAGGACTTTTTCTCTGGTCCCACCATCCCTGTTACATCAGGTTTCCACAGTATTATTATAATGAGGTTGTGTTTTTGCTTATTGGATTGCTGTTTATTCCATCAGATTATTACCACTAACAATTGTAGGTAGAAAATGTTAAAAGCTGAGACTATGTGTTTTACGCCAAATACCCACCGCTTTGACCATAATTATATTCTAGTCTGGACAACATTAAATGGACAACTTTTCGACCTCATTACATAGAACCAAGTGGCGAATTGTCCTGATTTTTTGCGTGTGCCCCTGAATTTTTAAAAAACCCTTTAAAATCTGGATTTTCATGCCTATACGACAAATATTAAAGAGGTGTTTTCTATATAATCATTAGCATTTAATTACAGTCTGCGCAGGAATATTTTATCAGACCAAGAACGGTAGTTAAGCGTTAGTTTTTTTTGTCTGTTTAAATCTTTTTTTTTTTTTACTGACGGCTTGCGCCGCAAGACTGACTTGTTTTCAGTCCAGTGGTTAGTAGGTGACAGTGGGTTTATTTTGCTTGACTCATTGTGATATACAATGAGTAAAATTTCTTTCATATCTTCCTTCATTGAGATCGCATGCATTTCAATTTGCTGTCACTTTTTCATTAATTACTTAATTTACAAACCCAAAAAACGTTGCCTTAAAACTACTAAATTATTTCTCCGTGAAAGCTGATTGAGGCCGTCTCTTTTATTCTATAACATATCCCGAAAAAGGGACAAAACGTGTATGTATGGGGGGGGGGGGGTGTCAAGTGACATGCCCGTTAGGGCTTCAAATATAGCGCTCAGTTGACCCCCGTTTTTGGGGGGTTTGACCAAACTGTATCCCCCCTGAAAATCTGGCTTTGCCCCAACAATGACACCTTGTATTGTTATGGTTTTAGCTTAGTACCGTGCTTGCTATAAAAAAAAAAGTGTGCGGTGTTGAGTTTAATGAGCAATTAATTACTAATGATTATATAGACAGTGCCTCTTTATTTTTGTCGCATGTGCACGAAAATCGAGATGTTTTAGGTCTTTTAGAATTCAGAGGCGCAGGCAAAAAAAACCCAGAGAGATTCGCCCCTTAGATTCAGTGTAATGAGGTCGACAGGTTGTCCTTTTGGTGTTGTCCGGACCATATATTAATCCCTAGAGCAAAATATGCTTAATCATTACGTTGGTGTGTTTATGATATGTCACAAAATATATTTTATTATATAATATATATTATACAAACGTATTATATATCAATTTTTTTCAATCCTGAGCAGTATCAAATCCGACTTTGATTATTCATTTTTATCTCTCTTCGCTAAATGCGTCTGTGTATAGTCTATGCTACGTACATGTAGATCAATTTGCTTGTGCATCTATATAAATATATATTATTTGAATTAATCGAATAGTGAAATACTTGCATATTTTACGAGTCTCTTGTAAATTCAGTTCTCTTCAGGTCTTTACAGTGAACAGGATATCCTTTTACTTGTGGTCTTCACCTAAAACGAAATGACCATCTTGTTGGTTTTTTCCCTTCCCCCGATCTTCTGCTGCAGGTTACAAGCGTTTCCTGTCGTTCAAGCGGATGCTCCTAATAGTGACCGGGCTGGGGATGATCGGAGTACTGGCTTCTCTTAGCTCCTCACAGCAAATCTCGACCATATTGAAACATTCTTTTAAGCAATCGATCTCTATAACAAGAGGGCCCATCTCTTTCATCACTCAGAATGGTTTTGTAGAGAGCGCAAAGTCGCCTGTAGATCCCAACCCAGTCCATCAAACCATTATAGAATCTTCCACCATGAAGTCCAAAGACATTGAAGATTTTTTGTCTCTGAGACTTCTGGACCATCCCCTGGAGACAGACGTCCTTTCTAAAACGTTGAAAAGTAACGAGGCTTTGATACTGGAAGCTCAGCGAATTCTCCTCAGTATGCTCAGAGATTTGCTCGGCAAAGCTCGTCACGTGATGCTGTTTGAAATAGCGACGTACAGCAACAAGGGAGACCCTGCCATATCTGTCGGAGAAGCCATGTTACTGAGGAAACTCAACGTCACAGTGGTGTATTATTGCGAGACACATCACTGTACAGCAGAGAGCGTTGAGCGTGCGAGAAAGATCAGCGAGTCGTATGAACAGGATGAATTAGTGATTTTAATGCAGGGAGGTGGCAATTTGGTAGGGTATCATGGAATGGATATAATACGTGAACGTGTTCTGGATGCTTTCCCCACTAGAACTAAAGTGTTATTTTCCCAAAGCATATGGCTAAACAAGTTTAATCATCAGAGCTTAAAGCACTGCCAGAAAATATACTCTAACCGCACAAATTTCGTGATGTTCCTAAGAGACCGCCAGTCCTTGGGTATAGCTCAAGAAAACTTTAAAGGCATCAAGCACGTATTAGCCCCGGATATGGCTTTTGGTATAGGAATGCTTCCTCGTCAATTACCTCCAGCTTTTGATGTGATCTGGCTAAAGAGAGGTGACGGAGAGTCCCCGGGCTATACAATTGACGATTTGCCCAAAAATATTTCATTCACGTACCACGTGAGCGATTACCTGGGATGGAAGTCCAACAGAGGAGCCACGGACATGGAGACGTCTTTCTTGATCGCCACTGCCGGTTTGCAGTTTCTACAGCGGGGACGGGTACTTATCACAGATCGTCTCCACGGACACATTCTGAGCACCCTCCTCAACATTCCTCATGTTTTGTTGGACAACCCGCCTTTTCTCAAACTCTCGTCCTTCCACAAAACCTGGACGGCAAGTCAAAGCAATGTGGTCATGGTGACGGATAAACACCAGGCTGTTAGAGAGGCTCAGAAACTTCTGGAGCGATACGATTCAGTGTTGCCTAAAGTAGGCCCTTTCATGAGTAAAAAAATCTGGGAACACTAATAATACATTTCTTCGGGCAACAGAAACAAAGAATGTCATCTAGTCAGGGAGGAGCTAATTACTTTATTCGATGTACTCACGCCTTACTTAGCTGACCATATAGAAAAGCTACCTTAGACCAATCAAATGTCTCTGTCTGTTGTGAGCGTTCCAAAGCGGGATCTTTCAGACATAGCTGACAGTAGGGTTTAGTTTCTTTGTCGATACCAAACGCACAGGTTAGATTTCTTACGTACAGTGATTTTGAGGAATTGTGGAGTAGCAAGCATAAAAGTAGGCGCAATTGAAAGATATCCTCTATGTAGTATCGACAGTCTTTGATTGTCCAGGTGGAGGGAAGATACAGGAATTTGAAACGTTTCACAAAGCAGGAATCACGAAGGAATATAGCAACTTTGGAGCCGTTGCCTTGATCAGTCATACTATGATAAACAGGGCACCACTGACCATCATTCTGCGTGTATATTTTATGAGAAAATGTAGAAGAGGGACTGTCGGATTGCCATTTAGGCTGCAGATCTAACAGAGGCACGATAGGCATTCTGTCTGTCCTTCAAATAATAATAAAGACAATAAGAAACAGCAACCAAGAACCTTCTTCACATTTATAGACTCCAACAAGGCGTGTGATGGTGTCATTTACCTTCAACTACTTGAAACGATGCCACTGATGGGTTTCCCGAGACACCAGGTCTCATTCCTAGCTGAATTCTATGAGAACCAAAATCCAACCACAAGATGGAAAGGTAAGCATTTAAAGTATTTTGATATTATAAAAGGAACTAGTCAAGGCTTTATCCTCTCGCCCCATCTCTTCAACATTATCATACAGGTCACGAGAGAATCAGACATAGAGGTGACATAGATGGCAAGATTGGAGGCAGAAGCATAACTTATCTAAGATACCGCGACAAGATATATAACCTTGATATGGCAGAAAGTGCAACGGCAGCTCGCGACCGTGAATGATGGAGGATCATTACACGTCAACCTCTGAGTCAGAGATGACACCTCCAGGTATCCAGGTATCGTGACAGCACAGCCCTTCTGGCTGACAACATCAAAAGCATGAGAAGGTTTGGTCTGTCGAGACGATGCTGCTGGCAATAAAATCAGGTCTGAAGCCAAGAAGACCAGAGCCATGCTCATTACAGGAATAGAAAGCCAAATCCTCTAACAAATAAACATAAGTGAAATAAAGCTGGAAATTGTAACAGCCTTCAAATACTTAGGTTCAATGAAAAAAGGCGGATGGGACATGTATTTAGAGAGTATGGTGCAGAATAATTATGGCCAAACAAATTATGGTACATTGTACAACAAAACAGATATGGAAAGATAGGAGAGTACTCAGAGAACTTTAAGTTAGAATTTCGAAGTGCCATTTAGCCAGTACATGTAGTTATGTATGGGAATGAAGCTTGAATATTAAAACGGGAACGTTAATTCGGAATCCAAGTAGCAGAAATGTGGTTTTAGAGAAGACTGTTCTGGGTCAAATGGACTGATAAAGTAAAGAACAAAAAAAGAGTTCTGAAAGAACTTGATACACTCGGCAGAATGCTTTCGGAGACCGGCAAAAAGAAAGGCAAGTACCTTGGTCACGCAGACAGAAATAAAATCAGACTTGATGACAGCTATACTGTGGGGAAAATAGAGGCAAAGAGAACTGGGAAAGACGTCCTACATCGTACATTGAAATCGTATAACCCGACGGTGACAGATGGACGCCTGTTGTAGCAAGGGGTCGGGCAGCAGCCATAGTGACATGTGACGACAGCAGACGCATGGCTGAACAGGACAGTGAGCAGGGTGCTGATTTACATGGAGATGATTTATTATAAATCTAATTAGTTATTTAGTTTAGTTTGATTTAATAGTATGTTCCCTTTGTTTGATTTTGTTCCTTCGCTTTTCAGCAGCTGCATCATCTTATAGAAAATACTTTCTCTTTTTGGGGAAAGAAGACGAGAACTTAGTCAATTAAGGACTGGTATGATGGGTTGTTGTAGTTTTTTATGGGGGGGGGGTATTTTGGGGGGTGGGGTTGTTTGGTTTTTTTGCTTGTTTGTTTCTTTTCTTGTTGTTTTGTGTTGTTGTTATTGTTTTTAGGGGGGTGGGGGGGTCACTCTTCACATTCTCGATTTGCTTAGGTCTTTTGAGCAGTGAAGACACGCACAAAGGGGTATACGAGACATTTTTATTGAGGAAGTGGGTTGATAAAATGAGACATTTTTCAAAAATAACTCTTTTAAAATCCTGCATGCCACGGTTCTTCGAATTTGCCCTATTTACGAATAAAGTAGCTGCTTGTCTTTTATCTGTCGTTGGAGTCGTTGTGTTGCCCTGTGTGAGATGAGTGTCACGTGTATTTCCAAAGGAAAGTTATTTTGTTTTATTTGTTTGTTTACTATTACATAACTCATATGAAGCTATAATTCATTTTTATGCTTTTTGTCATTTTATGTATACAAAAGAATCTTGAAAATGTCATCACCCAATCATCGTGTTAAAGCCCTGCACTACCCGCTCATGCAGCATACCAATTTAATCTGAATCTTCTGACACATTAATATTTCATCTAGATATCTATGAGACTCCCAAGACATGGTGACTCAAAATTGACTTTAAAAAATCAGGCTTGGCAAAATTTGTGCGAAATCAAAGAAACGTAAAAAATGAGTTCGCGCGTGTATTGAGGAGCATCAGTAGCCTACTGATAGAATGGACATACATTGCATAGCCAATGAATGGAGAATTTTCTCATTGCAATAAACAATACTTTATTACGATAGTTTCAGACAAAACAGAAAACAGAGCAATCCCAAATGCCACGTAAAACTTGGAATTAACATTAAGCGTGCTCTTTGATATTTTGCTTAGGAGGCACTGGTTTTAAGTAGAGCATGGACCATTTGGGCATCGACTCTATTAGATATTGGACATAATCAGCTCTGTCATTTCATCCAAAATGTCACAGAGTTGCAAACAAGGGGTTTAAATTGGGAGCAAAATTGCATTTCTTCAGCTGCTTTCTACTGGTGTCTCTTCCAACGTTAATATGATAACATTGATTTTGTTTTCTAAGAATTATCTAGTGACATTGGCCCTGTGAGAAAGTGCTTTTCTGTGCATGGAGATGTTTAATTAAATATGACACCGTGAAGAAATTAAGAGTAAGACATGGTGTTTCAGCACTTGCGCGATGTAGTCCACTAAACCAAGCCATCCGGTGATTATTACGAGTTTTGTTCATTCCACCCCAGACCACCCAAAAACACGGACTTTCGTGGTTCCGTTCCTCTCTGACAGATGATTGTGTCCAAAATCTAACTGTCACGTCCCATGTGCAAAAAATGTTTCGTGCTTTACACGAAACCAGTAGCTACTAAACAAACAAAAAATATACTAATGATCACATGTAATGTAAAGTCCAGTTTTTGCGTGGTATTTGTGACTTTTCTGTTTTCCAATCTGTCTAAAAATATTATCAGACGATACTGTTCATTGCAGAGACAATAATATTATCTTTTTATTTGATATTTAATACTTGTCCCCCCACCAACATATTGTCATATATCCATTAAATGGACAAAAAATGTAGGCTACTGATCCCCCCCCCCCCCCAAAAAAAAATATAATTAATAAATTCGATATTTTTTATTTCGTTATTTTGACGAGCGCCTAATTTCACCACAACGCCACACACACACTCACACACACACACACACACACACACACACATATGCACACACACAGAGACAAACAAACACACACACGCTCGCACACACATATAATATTATGCCAAACGCATAACATTATTATTATTAAGCGCAATTGAGCGCTATGTAAGAGCAAAGATACTAACTAAACTAACTGCCTTCTACCTTCGGGCCCTCGGTATACAAGGCCCCAGCGTCGTAATGATCCCACTTTGATTATTCAGACTTCAATAGGTACCTTCTGGATGGGTGTATCTTCTTTCCCCAGTCCCCAAAAACTTATGAGCTTTGAACGCTCCAAATCGTTTTGCACTCTCACGCGTTTACAATTAACGCGTAAGAGACGCTCCTCATATCGGTCTTCGTAAACTTACAAATCAGGGACTTAACTGATTTTGAAGCAGCAATGTGTTATAAATACGCCCCACTCTAAGGTTCCCTGTCCCTCAATATGCCGTCCTGGGTGGTGGCGTCCAGTTGTAATTACGCTCCTCGCGCGGGTAGCAGCGTCCAGTTTACTAGTTTCACCTGGTATTTACGAGCCACGAGCCCTCTGGCTTCACTTGGTTACACATTTACTGCGGAGAAAAAAGTAAGACAGACTGACAGAAAGGAAAGGAAAGAAGTAGGACCTACCAGTGGCATCCCCCCCCCCCCCCCCCCCAGTCATCTGCTTGTTCAAGTTCTCTTATAACCAGGAAAATATAGCGGCAAAGACTCGCTCAAGTAAATGTATTTATACCATTATCCACGTTCGTCTATGTATCTTTAAATTTATTTATTTTTTTTAGTAAAGTTTTACGGCCCTCGCAATTACATAAGGTCATATGAGCGCCAAGGGTGGATGTCAGCAGAGCAAGTCCAAACAGGGAGTCAGACTTACTCTGCTCACCTGTCTGGCCTCAACAGCCTAAAGTCTGCTTCGACTATCAAGACACCCCAGAAATAGCAGTTCACAACAGAGTGCCAAACATACAAAAGAAGTAGAGGGAAAATGACAATAGTAAGGATGAGGGGGGGGGAGCAGCAGTCCCCCCCCCCCCCTATGTTGTTCCGGTACGGTATGAGCATGACATTGATAAATCAGCCCATTTAAAATTCCACTGTGCATAAGAACAGGTTAATATCCCCTCTTTGGGAATGGCCTAAAGACAACTTCAGTCAGGAGCGTTGCCCTGGTGGGGGTAAAGAACTTCACTGAAATAAATATTTGTAAATGGTTCCACTTGATACGCCCGGTGTTTTTTAGTTTTGTTTTATTTTTTGGCGGGGGTGGTTTGTTTGGGGTTGTTGTTTTGTTTTGTTTTTGGGTTTTTTTTGGGGGGGAGAAGTTGTCCAAACAGAGAGCAGAAGTGGCTGAAAGAATATAAGAACTAACCATAGCATTTGTATCTTCACCTTGTACCGCATCACAACCTCAGTACAGATGTGTACAGAATGTATTTAAAACTGTTTTCATGTTCTAACGTCTTTTTATGTTGGTGTTTTACGCCCCTATCGACACAGTATAGAACATTTTAGAGGTGGGCTTCGACACTACTTTTCCCAGCCAGCCAGCACTGAGTGAGATGGATAAAACATCCTTCCAGAGTGACTGAGATATTGATAAAAACTCTCCCCACAAGGGAATTGAACATGGGTCTTCTGCCTGCGACGGCAAAGGGCCTGTCAGTCACTAACAATAACAACATGTACATTGCAGGTGCCTCTGTGTGCTGTAAACGTCAATACAGAGATGATGGTGGTTTGACTTTGACAAATACACAGGCCTTGAGGTTCAGTGCATGAGACGCACTTGCCTGGAAGGGTTGTTTCATTTAGTTTTAGTAAGAAGAGTTTTACGGCACTTGCAGCAGAATAAATTCATATATATATAAGGGCCAGAGATTAGAACTGTTATAATAATAATAATAATAGATAGCATTTGTATAGCGCATATCCCCGCTCAACAGCAGGCTCTATGCGTTTTACACAATATTATTACCCCAGCAGACCATAGTACACTCCGAAACATTCTCAGCTTCCCGGGAAGCATACAGTGCGAGCAGCCGATTAAGCGCTCAAACACTAACAAACTGACAAGATTTTTCGCTGTCTATAGCCGGGTACCCATTCTCACCTGGGTTAAGTGAGGAAAATTCGTGTAAAGTGCCTTTCCCAAGGACACAACGTCGGGCCCTTGACGGGATTCGAACCCACGACCTTACGGTTGCGAGTCCGAGAGCCTAACCACTAGGCTACCGACGCCACATATAAGAGAGGAGAGATAAGAACGACAAATGTTTGATCGTAAAGAAGGAGCAAACCACACCAGAGCACCCATCAACCCGCCACCTGGATGGGTTGAACAAATAAAAACAAAGAACGAAAGAACATCTTTAAAACATTTTAAAGTTTATTAATCATGTTATGAACACTAGAACCTGAATAACATACTATTAATAGTACTATCTTGAAGTCTTATTCTAAAGGGAAGGAGTAAAAGTAAAAGTGAGTAATGACTGATATAATTGCAGTGATAATACCAGCATACAATTCAGCATACAAAACAAGAGAAAGCTCGCTCTTGGGTAAACAACAGAGATCAGACACAGATGACGGAAAGTTCAACCAAGAAGTTGGACACTTTTCACACAGCAGCGCATATCAGTGAAGTCACCAAAATATCACACATTCAAAATAGCACTTTGCAACATAAACATGACACTCACTTCTCGGTCTCCCTATCCACTCTCTGCAGTACATGTAGAACAGTTTCTATCAAGGAAGGCATAACGAAGGTAAGTGACTAAGTTCCCTTTTACAAAGTGAGAAGAATTTCTCAGAGCTGTACAAGATCTATATAAAGGAAATCATTCTTGTTAATATTAAAAATTCTCAGACCGCATCACAAACTAATAATCTACTAATTAGCGTAGTTGTCAAACAGAACATCACATAAAAATTGTGGACCGAAAATGAAATAGCACACCTTGATTAACAACATAAATATGGGACGACCCACTTAAAACAAATGGGGAAAAAGAGGGCTGTCAAAATAAAATGAGGAAAAAGTACAACGGTTTAAATAGAAAAGTGAAGAGAAATTAAACAGAAGAAACATGTACATGTATAACGAGAACAGAGAAGTAAGTGACAAGAAATGATACTCGAACACAGGCTGTTAAGGACGTAAGTAGGAAATATTTCAATGGACTAATGAGATGTTTTATCAGATGGTCAGAATACAGAATAATGTTTGTTTTAAAAATAACAAGACAGAAAAAACTCTAATTTAAAGAAAGAAAAGGACCACCAATTCTCAAAGAAGTACAACATGCCACTAAGAAAATGAAACAAGGAACAGCTACAAGGTCAGATAATAATATTACATGTATTCCAGTGGATATTATTTGCTACATTATGAGAATTGAGTTCGCCTATTCAAATGACAACAAAGCTCTAAAATTATGTTCGGGACAGGAGATATATTTTGGAAAGTCAGTCTATACAACTTTGCCTTAATCACCAGGTGCCAAAGAATGTGAGTTGTATAATTATAAGCCTTACGAGTCATTTAATTAAAATTTTACTGGGGAAACAAATTAAAGTAATTATT